ACTAGATTTGTATAAGCCTTTTCTACTCCGAGTATTCAAACATACCCCAAAGAAATACTTTTTGATTGCTTTTAATGTCAGCTTTCAAAGAGCCATTGAAAAGATGCTTTTCTTCAGCAAGAAGAAGAAGAGTTGGTGACTAAACTAAAAAGTGAATTTTTGTCCCACTGATCCATTAAACAGTCAGTGAATTAAAATACTTGAAAGAAATAAAAAAAAACCCAAACCTGTGTGAGAAATAAAATCTGTGCTGTTTAGATAGGGAGAGAAAAATGGTATCAACATCCCCGTAAGATAGCACTAAGGATTCCTTATCTACAGCATAATATTCTCACTTACAAACAGTTTGAGATTGGTCAGTTCTCTGAACAGTAAGAAAGTTTGAACAGCAGTTCAGCAACAAAACAGATGAAAAAATACAATGCCGTGAAAGCTATATATTCTGAATTTAATTTTCTGGAATTTAAACAGATCAGAAATAAGAAAACCACATAAAATTGTGGTCTTTAACCATAAAAATTGGTATTGCAACAATACTGTGCACAGTGACACCTGTGATAGCACACGGATGAGATCCTCAGGTGCTTTCTCAGTAGCTATGAGAGACCTGAGCCCACCCTCCATCTGTAACTTTTACAGCAAAACTTTGAAGTAAAGGAAGGGGCAAATTAACCCGGTGAGTATCTACGACTTTCACTATTAATGCTCAGAAAACTTGGCTTGTTCGTGCAGATGTTTTACTCGTGCATTCTGGCTACAGGACATTCAACTTTTCTCACTCTGATCAAAATAATCCCCGATCCTGTCTAACATATTCTTTGAGCCTGACACTTGATAACAGCGCCACAATGTAAACCTTCCTGGATGCATGGCCCTCCAAGTATTTTCACATAAAATACAAAGAACCAAGTAAGGCTAATTCATCCCAAAACTGAATGCTTGGACAAATTCCCTGAACAAACACCACACACACACACGAAACCCAGAAAATGCACTGAAGTGATCAGTCCTACACAGCCAAGAAGTAACATGCTGACAGAGTAGAGCACTTACACTGGCTTCTTCCAGCTAAAAAATCTACTGTGGCTGAAAAAATCTTCCAAAGACTTACTAAATAGGTCTTCTCTAGAATTGGTCAAGGAATACATTTGCCTTTTATAGAACTAATAAATGAAAATTGTGAAACTGGGATATGGTGGGGGCAAGGTAAGTCCAAGAAATCTCCTAAGAAATCTCCAATAACGTCCTTGAGAGACAGATGCATGTGATTATAGCACTACAGTTCTTTCTTCCCTTTCTCATCAATAACTTCATCCAAGCACCTCTTCCTGAGAGGCTGGAAAATGCTCCTTTACACATTGCTATATAGATGCCCTATAGTATAAAAGATACAGGAATCACAGAATTGAAAAAAAAAGAGAAAAACCGTTTGCAGGGTGATGCTCAGGTTGAGAGGATTAACACAAACCTCGCATGGTTCAAGAGAGAGCAGCAAGCCAGAAAGGGTGGCTCTTTCATAACAGCACACAGCACTGGCAAGAATAATACTTGAACTTCCTCTTTAAATACATTTTTATTTTAAACATCCTTTAGAAAGGCTATTAAAGAAGAGGTATTGAGGGTCCAAAGGCTTTTGGGTTGAGGAAAGAGGCTGTGCAAAGGAGGCCTTAATGGATTTAATTCTGTTTGCCTCGAAGGCAAATTCAGCTGATAGGTCTTACACAGGGTTATCACCCGGAGAGAGCCTGTCAATGACAGAGGAACCAACAACCTGAAATCTGTTACACCATTTCAGGAGAAGTTACACACGCCAGCAATGAAGGTGGTTAACCACGGCCAGAAAATACTGAAGGATCTACAGTATAAAAGATACAGGAATCACAGAATTAAAAAAAAAAAAGAAAAACCGTTTGCAGGGTGATGCTCAGGTTGAGAGGATTAACACAAACCTCGCATGGTTCAAGAGAGAGCAGCAAGCCAGAAAGGGTGGCTCTTTCATAACAGCACACAGCACTGGCAAGAATAATACTTGAACTTCCTCTTTAAATACATTTTTATTTTAAACATCCTTTAGAAAGGCTATTAAAGAAGAGGTATTGAGGGTCCAAAGGCTTTTGGGTTGAGGAAAGAGGCTGTGCAAAGGAGGCCTTAATGGATTTAATTCTGTTTGCCTCGAAGGCAAATTCAGCTGATAGGTCTTACACAGGGTTATCACCCGGAGAGAGCCTGTCAATGACAGAGGAACCAACAACCTGAAATCTGTTACACCATTTCAGGAGAAGTTACACACGCCAGCAATGAAGGTGGTTAACCACGGCCAGAAAATACTGAAGGAAAAGAGTATCCTCCACCTCTAAACTCTTTTAATAGGTACAAGATGTCTTGTCTGCAGCCCAGACACCACATAAACACAGGCATCTGTGTTCAATACAAGAATAAGTGGACGAAAATCTGTGCTATGCTACAAGGAGACAAGACAGCCTGATCACATAGATTATATACTTAGTTCCAATTTCTCTTTGTTAAAGAAGATGGGGTTAATATCACGGACATAAGTCACTGCTGCAGTCAGCTAATGCAGAGTACTTTTAAAGCTATGGTTTTTCTGGCACATTTTAGTCTTTGATATTTGGAAGAAAAGCAAATGAGAAAAGGCACTAGACTCACAAAGCAAGTGAAAAAGGTGGGATGGAGTCCAGTGGTTATGAAAAACCTAAGAGGGAAATGTTCATCAGTTTCCTTGTACTTATCAATGCAGTCAGAGTCCTCCAAAGAGACAGAAAATCCTTAGCTAGTCAAGCAGAGTATTTTAATGCTTACCTTGCTATAAATGTCAATAGATCAATCCATTCTTTAAAATGATCTAGCATTAAATAGAAAAGCAGCTACACAAATTGTAAACTTATCACAGCCTAAGGATACCAAACAAATGGACCAAAATTGCCATACTTAATTGTATTAATCAATCATTCTCCATTATACTGGTTTCTCTTAATTTGTTTTTGATACATTTTATCCCTTCTGAGTAAATTACCTGCTCGGTTTTCAAGATGTCGCTGTGGTCCCAGCCCAAGTGAGCAGCTGCCCGAAGTGGAGGCTGCCACCAGGTTTGGCAGGTGCAGAACCACTGGGGAGGCCTCCTCAGAAGAGCCCTCCTGGGTCTGGGGGAGCTGAGGTGCTGCAGGTCAGACCCAGTCCTTCTGTCGATGCTACTTACTCAGTGTCTGTCTCTGGGCACAGTGCTGCTGCCCAGCTAAACACTTTAAAAAGTCTCGTTTATGGTGTTTTATTACTAGTTTTGGGGTTTTTTTCCAAGTAAATGGATAAACCTTTGCCAGTTGTGACACTGTGG